AGTCCTCCGTGTGCCCTGCTCGTCCTCCCCCAGGTCCTCCGTGTACCCTGCTCGTCCGCCAGGCCCTCCGTGTGCCCTGCTCGTCCGCCAGGCCCTCCGTGTGCCCTGCGGGTCCACTCTCTGTGGCAACAGGAGTGAGAGAATCTGCTCCAGTATAGCTCAGGCGACCAGGCTGACCAGGAGCTGCCAGCAGCATAGCTCTACTCCGGTCCTCTCCCAGTCTCTTGCTCCCATGGGCACTGCCTCATGCTGGGGTCCATGTGATGGGTGTGGAAGACAAGAAGGTGTGAAGAGTATTGTTCCATTGCAGGCAGGGCCACAAGGAACTTCCCACTGTGTGGCAGGGCCTGTGGATGCCTCTACCACACCTGAATGCAGCTCCACCTCCCTTTGCATGGACACCGGGCAACCCCGCTGAGAATTCTATAATCTATTTAGGCATTGTCTGCCTCTGCGGAGTTACTGTTAAATATCAATAGGAGCTTGGAAGCTGATGTTGCTGTTGCCGTTTTTTAGCCAAAAAGTTGTTATTGCTGTTACGGCTGCATCCTGTGGCAACATGTTAATCAAGGGTGCTAACTCCCCTTTTGATCCTATGCTAATCAAGGGTGTTCTGTCTTTAGGTGTAGTGGAATCTATTCTTTCCCTCTTTCTTTGATTTTTTAGGTCCCTCCTGCGAAGTTCTTCCTTCCTTGACTGTCTCAAGACCAAGCTATAGAGTAATTGTGGTAGGAATGTGTTAGTGATTGATATGCACCATCTATTGAGAACTTTTTCCTAGTCAGGTGCCAGGCGCCAGGTGGATAACATCCTAGCCTTAGGTGAGACAACTGGCAGAATTATCTTTAGAAACACCCACTTGGCCGTGAAGTAAAAGTCTGAGCCAGAGTTTGACTGATTTTGTATAAATAAAGCGGACAGCTTTTGTGCATCGTCCATTATGATCATGAAGTCCTAGTGGTCCGTCTCTCTTTTCCTCTTTGCGCCTCATCCACGCACCCTTCGCGAGTTCCGGACTCAGCTGGAGCTGGACTCCGGCAGCCTCGGCCTCACCACCAGGCACTATCTCCTTGGTGTCCCCAAATCTCTCTAGGTCCAGTCCTCCCTCCTTCCCTGCATGGACCTCAGAGAACAACTTGGGGTTGAAGCCATCCAGTGATGACCTGGGGCTCGGACCTCTCCTGCTTGACCAGTCTCAGCCTCAGGTTTGCCGGGGAGTCCCAGGCAACTGTGGCCACTGCTTGCTGTTCACTCAGACATTGTTCACGGGAGGCCACTCTGAGACAGAGAGGACAGTCCTTGTGCGTGACTAATGGGAATGTGGCCATGACCATTGTCCCCTATGACCCAGAGATCAGGTTCATGGGACCAAGTTGTGCCACTGGGCAGCACAGCCCGAATCCAGCTTTCTTCCTGCCTCTCAATGTCCTGTGGCCCTCAGCACCCCCCACCCAGACCTGACTGCAGGCGGGGCCCCCCCGCAGCACCCCCACCCAGACCTGACTGCAGGTGAGACCCTCAGCACCCCTGACCCTGGCCTGACTGCAGGCAGGGGCCCTTAGCACCCCCCATCAGCAACCCCCACCCAGGCCTGACTGCAGGTGGGACCCTCAGCACCCCTGACCCTGGCCTGACTGCAGGCAGGGACCCTCAGCACCCCCCATCAACAACCCCCACCCTGGCCTGACTGCAGGCAGGGGCCCTCAGCACCCCTGACCCAGGCCTGACTGCAGGCAGGGGCCCTCAGCACCCCCACCCAGTCCTGACTGCAGGTGGGACCCTCAGCACCCCCACCCTAGCCTGACTGCAGGCAGGGACCCTCAGCACCCCCACCCTGGCCTGACTGCAGGCAGGGACCCTCAGCACCCCCACCCAGTCCTGACTGCAGGTGGGACCCTCAGCACCCCCACCCAGTCCTGACTGCAGGTGGGACCCTCAGCACCCCTGACCCTGGCCTGACTGCAGGCAGGACCCTCAGCAACCCCCTCAGCACCCCCACCCAGGCCTGACTGCAGGTGAGACCCTCAGCACCCCTGACCCAGGTCTGACTGCAGGCAGGGGCCCTCAGCACCCCTGACCCTGGCCTGACTGCAGGCAGGGGCCCTCAGCAACCCCCACCCAGTCCTGACTGCAGGCAGGGGCCCTCAGCACCCCTGACCCAGGCCTGACTGCAGGCAGGGGCCCTCAGCACCCCTGACCCAGGCCTGACTGCAGGCAGGGACCCTCAGCACCCCTGACCCAGGTCTGACTGCAGGCGGGACCCTCAGCACCCCCACCCTGGCCTGACTGCAGGCAGGGGCCCTCAGCACCCCCACCCAGGTCTGACTGCAGGCGGGACCCTCAGCACCCCCACCCTGGCCTGACTGCAGGCAGGGGCCCTTGGAACCCCCCCTCAGCACCCCCACTCAGGCCTGGGCCCAGGTTCCTGGTGCGAATTCCCTTTTCTACAGCACAGCCAAATGTGAACACCCCCCCACACACATGTGCATGCTGTGCCCCGTGGCCTTACTGTGTGTGTAGGAAGCAGTGCCGTGGATTAGGTAAGCACCGTGGGGCGTGTCCCAGGAATGCACATTAGCAGAGGCAGGAAAGCCAAGAACAGCAGGAACACCACCACCTGCAATGCTGGTGTCAGACCAAGCAGTTCCAGGCTCAGCTGCTGGGCAGCCCCCCCAACAGCAAGCTCCGCCCCTGAGTGCCCGCCCACTGCAAGCTCCTCCACATCACAGCCCCGCCCACAGCAAGCTCCTCCCCTCAGTGCCCTGCCCACAGCAAGCTCCTCCCTCAGAGCCCCGCCCATGGCCAAGCTCCTCCCCATCACAGCCCCGCCCACAGCAAGCTCCTTCCCCTGGAGCCAGGCCCACCACAAGCGCCTACCCTCAGAGCCCCGCCCATGGCCAAGCTCCTCCCCCGAAACTCCAAAAGTTTCTCTGGAAAAGTGGGCTGAGGACAAGGAGGGCAGGACGCTGGGCGTTCAGGCGCAGCAGGTGAGGCCTGGGCAGCCATCCCGCCATGTGCAGCTGCCCAGGTCTGCAGTCCACTGCTGCTGGACCCCATGGCACTCCTCTCGGCCAATCCCTGTCCGTGTCCTGTGTAGTCAGCCACACGTGTCCTGTGGTCCCCGCTCCATGGCCTCCCCAGGCTGTGCAGGGACACACGGTGTGGACACCGGGTGCCCGTGCCCCCTGACCTGGCACAGGTGGGGCTGGGGAGAAGCTGTCCCATGCAGTCCACCAGGGACACACGGTGTGGATACCGGGTGCCCGTGCCCCCTGACCTGGCACAGGTGGGCCTGGGGAGAAGCTGTCCCATGCAGTCCACCTGGGAGGACCTGGCTACAGTGCCTGCCCTGGGTGCTGGCCGGTGCCTCCTTGGATCAGAGGGCCTGGGTCAGAGTTCAAGAGCCTGTGTCTAGGAGCTGCAGAGCTTGGCAGGCCTGTGGGCCGTGGGAGGGGAGGCCAGGCCGGCACCTGAGGCAGGTACTGGCGGCGGGGGGGCAGGTACTGTGTTTGCTTTCTGCAGAGTCAGCCATTGAAGGCCCAACTCACCCACAGACTCCCTACAGAACCATCCAGAATGTGGGGTCCAGGGATGACCAGGCCAATGTGACATCAACCCTATTTGTCTGAAAGAATCTTGCACCTGCTGGGTCACTCTTCCAAATGCCCACAGCAGCCAGGACTGGCCAGACCAAAGGCAGGGTCTCCATCTCAGTCTCCCCTGGTGGCAGGGGCCCAGGGACTTGCATCCCCCCACACACAAACACCTGCTTCCCAGGAAGCCTGGATGTGGGACGCAGCCCCCACCTTCTCCTGGGAAGGCCCCTCCCAAGGCAGTGGACACGGACTCTGGCTGGTTTTCAGTGGACTTCCGCAGGTTCACTCTGTGGTGGCTCTGTTCTGAGGGATGGCCATCAACGGCTCACCCACCCTCCTCATTACAGCACCAGCCACCCCACCTCCTGTCGCACAAGCCCTCTCACGCCCTTCTTCCCTCCCCCTGAAACTGGGGAGCCTGTGGGGGAGGCACTGGGAGGTCCAGCACTGGGGTCCAGCTCTGTGGAGCTGCGTGACTTGTGGAATCAACTTTCTGTGGATAGAGACGCGTCCAGGCTGTTACCAACATCAGTTAACTGCACCACAGTCCAAGTGCACACCTGGGTGCACCTGCTGGGGCTGTCACAGGAATAGCCGCTGGTGACGTGAACAAGCAGGTGCCTGAGCAGCCCTCACCCTGAAGCTGCCATCCGGCGCGCCGGCGCCCTGGCCTCTTTAACCCTGAGCCCCGAGTCGCACAAGGACAGCCACCAACAGCAGCAGAGCCTGACTGTAGTCCCGGGGGACTGCCTTCAGAGGCCCAGGTCCACCGGACCAGGCCTGCGACCCTCCCGGATCGCAGGGAGATGGGGGCCTTTGGGTGAGAAAGGCCGGAGTGGAACCCCGCAGCCTTCTGGCCCCACACATGCTCAGCGGGACTTCCCGGCTCCTGTCCTCCCACTTCTGTCCTCCACGCCACCCACCCGCCCTAGAACCTGGGTTGCTCCTCGGAAAAGTCCCCTAGCGGAGCTCGTTTGAGTCGTTCCGGGGAGAGCCAGGGCGCGCGCTGAGCGCAGGAGGAGCGTGGTACCTACCGCAGTCTCCGGTTCCAGAGGGCAAGAGGCAGGGACCGCACCAGGTGCAGGCGTGGGCGCCCACAAGAGCCGCCCGGGTCCGGCTGTAGGGCAAAGCACGTCGCGGATGCGCCCAGGGTGCCTGGGACCCGCCGAGCTCTGGCGAGAAGGAGGAGAGGGAGTCGGGGGTCGCCCCGCCCTCGGACCTCGGGGGCGCACTAAGCCCTTCCCCCTGCTCCGCTCCCCTGGTGCGCCCGACAGGCGGCTGGGGCCTTCCCCGCGTCGGGATTGGATGCGCGGGAGCGCACCGGGCGGGGGACCCCAGACCCCGGTTCCCCGCCCGAGAACAGGCAGGGAAGGTGCTGGCTGGCCCGGCGCGCCGGGGGCCACGATGTTCGACAGCTCTCAGTACCCATACAACTGCTTCAACGACGAGGACGACGCGGGCAGCGCCGACCCGGACCAGCGGCTCACGCGACCCGCGTACAGGTGAGCGCCCGGGCAGAGGGGGGTCGGGGCGGCGCCCTCCGGGGTCGCCCTCCCCGGGGAACGCCTCGCTGACGCCCGCCTTGCAGCTACATCGCGCTCATCGCCATGGCCATCCAGCACAGCCCCGCGCGCAGAGTCACCCTGGCCGGCATCTACGACTTCATCGTGCGCAAGTTCCCCTACTACCGCGCCAACCAGCGCGCCTGGCAGAACTCGATCCGCCACAACCTTTCGCTCAACAGCTGCTTCGTCAAGGTGAGCCCGGGCGCGGGGTGGGGCTGGGCGCAGGGGGCAGAGCGCGGTCTGACCCCGACCCCGATCCGGGCGCAGGTGCCGCGGGCCGACGGCCACGACAAGGGCAAGGGTAACTACTGGACGTTCGCGGGCGGCTGCGAGTCGCTGCTCGACCTGTTCGAGAACGGCGACTACAGGCGGCGGCGGCGGCGGCGCGGCCCCAAGCGGGCAGCGCGCGTCGAGGGACCGCCCGGCTCCAGGGAGCCCGCGGACACGCCGGCCACCGTCGGCGGGGGCCTGGGTGTCCCTGGACGCACGGCCCCAGCTCCCGCCAGCCCCGCCGCGCCCGGAAAGCCAGGACGCGGGGACCTCAAGTTCAGCATCGAGTCCATCCTGGCGGCCCCAGACCCCTGTCCGCGGCTGGAGGCGCTGCCCGCGGGCCTCCACTTCTGGGCCCTGTGAGGCGCCCCCGGGCCTCTTTCTCAGGAGAGGGGCTTGCCGCCCTGCCAGGGCCCTCGGGCGGGATTCCTCTAGGGGCCCTTCTAAGGAACAGATGCGCTTGCTCGCTCCCCTGCCCAGCACAGCAGGTCACTGACTGGGAGGTGGGTGGGCGATGGCCATGATGATAATGATAATAAAATGCCAGCAGTGTGCAGAGTTGATGGCTGCCCTGGAGCACTTGTGTTGGGGGTTGGTCAGGAGCCCACTGCCCTCTGGGCAGAGCAGGTGGAAGGAAGGTCTGGGTCTGGGCTGACCCTGGGCGAGGCCACCTAAGAGGGTGGGTAATAAGACCCTGGTGAGACCAGGCCGTATCTGGGCAAGGTAAGTGATATAAACAGAGACAGCTGCACCCAGTGGGGCCACCAGCAGCCTCACCTCCCACAGGCTAGCCTCACTATGTGCTCCCACTCCTGCCAAGCGCATCCACCAGTGACCATGACAGAAGAAAGACATGCCACAGTGGGCAGGTCACTGTGGCAAAAATCTACTATGCCTCAAGTCAGAGCCCCAAGTACCATGTTACACCCATGTTCCCCGTCCACGCTGCACCCCAGTGCCATGTTAGACCCCATTCCCCACCCATTGGCCCTGCACCTGGGTGCTGCGTTAGACCCACCTTCCCCACCCATCCTCACTGCACCCCAGTGCTGTTAGACCCACGTTCCCTGTCCACACTGCCCCCAGTGCTGTGTTAGACCCACATTCCCCGTCCACACTGCCCCCAGTGCTGTTAGACCCACGTTCCCCGTCCACACTGCCCCCAGTGCTGTTAGACCCACGTTCCCCATCCACACTGCCCCCAGTGCTGTGTTAGACCCACGTTCCCCGTCCACACTGCCCCCAGTGCTGTGTTAGACCCACATTCCCCGTCCACACTGCCCCCAGTGCTGTGTTAGACCCACGTTCCCCGTCCACACTGCCCCCAGTGCTGTGTTAGACCCACGTTCCCCGTCCACACTGCCCCCAGTGCTGTGTTAGACCCACATTCCCCGTCCACACTGCCCCCAGTGCTGTGTTAGACCCACATTCCCTGTCCACACTGCCCCCAGTGCTGTGTTAGAGCCACATTCCCCGTCCACACTGCCCCCAGTGCTGTGTTAGACCCACATTCCCCGTCCACACTGCCCCCAGTGCTGTGTTAGAGCCACATTCCCCGTCCACACTGCCCCCAGTGCTGTGTTAGACCCACATTCCCTGTCCACATTGTCCCCAGTGCTGTGTTAGACCCACGTTCCCCGTCCACACTGCCCCCGGTGCTGTGTTAGACCCACGTTCCCCGTCCACCCTGCACTCTGGGGCTGCATTAGTCCCACATTTTCCACCCATCCACACTGCATCCAGCTGCCACGTTAGACCCGCATTCCCCGCCCATCGGCTCTGCCCTGGCACTGCATTAGAACCATGTTTCCCACTCGTCAGTCTTGAAAGCTGGCTGCACGTTTCTGGGTTTCCCAGCTGCCCCGACACATGCCAGGGAGGTAAAGGTGGGCAGAGAGCCAGAACCCAGTGCCCCAGATGGGGGCTCTGGAGTAGCTGACACTGTGCAGACCCCAACCCCAGGGACACAACAGCTCGACCCCTGTACCCAGGGCTCCAGCCCCTCCTTGCTGGTTTGACCAGGAGCAGCCTCACACATGGATGTGTTTGCACATGTGTAGGTCAAGTGTCTGTCTGGAAACATGGCCAACCGAGGGGGCATGACCTGGATGGCCACGAGGCATGGCTGGCACTAGGAGTCCTGCTGCCGGGAGATTGCCCCACTACGAGCAGAGCACATACAAACTGCCCTGTGCCTCTTGGATCTTGCTGCATCCCTGCATTTTAGTGAAGCACAGCTCGGACCAAAAACCCTTTGCCCAAAAAAGGACAATCTTGGGGTCCTGGCACAATGGCCTAGTGGCTAAATCCTCCCCTTGCAACCACTGGGGTCCCATATGGCGCTGGTTCATGTCCTGGCTGCTCCACTTCCTTCCAGCTCCCTACCTGTGGCCTGGAAAGCAGTCGAGCACAGCTAAAGCCTTGTGATCCTGCACCCGCGTGGGAGACCTGGAGGAGGCTCCTGGCTCCTGGCTTCAGAGTGGCTCAGCTCCAGTCTTTGCAGTCACTTAGGGAGTACATCAGCAGATGGAAGATCTTTCTGTCTCTTCTCCCTATATATCTAGCTTTCCAATAAAAACAATTATATCTTTAAAAAAATCAGGGAACCCTGGTTATGCATTTGAGGCCCCTAACAGCCGGGCAAGGCTGGACAGCACCAGCCAGCTCCAGCCAGCACCAGCCAGCACCATTCACAGCGAGGGCAGTGCCAGCCAGCGCCAGCCAGCACCAGCTAGCACCAGCCAGCACCAGCCAGCGCCATTCACAGAGAGGTGTGGCATTTGTTTTGCAAGGATATCAATCATGTTGTAAAAGCAAAGGGACATTTTCAATTTGCCACTGCGCGGCACCCTGCGACTCGGAAAGGTTCCCAGCCCTGGGAGTGAGTGGCGTTTAACAGCAACAACACGGCGGGACGCGGGCTGCCGTGACCTACTCAGAGGCCGCCGCCACGCATACGCACCTAACAGAGTATAATTAAATAGCTTATGCCTCCCTTGCAAATGTACTGATTGATCACCAATACCAGCCTCCCACCCGTCACCTCAAGCAGTGCCTGCCACATGCCGGTCACGGATCACCAGGTTTCCATTAGCACAGGGGGCGGTGTTGCTGAGTGCCGCTCAGGAGGGGGTGTGCGGAGCTGTGGCTCAGACCCCCTGCTGCCCCTGAGCTGCGCCACCAGGAGGTGCCGAAGCAGCCGGGCGCTGGGCCCCCACCAGACACTGTAGGACCAGCCTCCTATGGACACCCCTCCCCTGCTGCCACCACCAGCCTGATCTGACACCAAGTGGCCTCCTGGACACCACAGGGCTGGTTGCTGTAGACAGGGTGTGGTCGGTAGGGCAAAAGCTCTCTGGGTACCCCGTGGCCTCAGGAGTGGTGGCGGCCTGCACCCCTGTGCTGCAGAGGGAATTGGAGGTTACCGAATGACCAGAGGCCAGCTGAGGGGAGGGGTCCCGGGGACAGAGCAGGGCCTCAGACCACCCAGCCATGCCAGTCCCAGGCCCTGGGGATGCCGCCCTGTCCACAGTTAGGGCTGGTCGTCACCTCCCGCGTCTGTCGCAGCTCTTCTGCACACCACCTGTTGCTGGGGGGGTGCACTTCCTGTGCCTCCTCTTCGGTGCTGAGGCAAGAGGGGGAGGGGGCTTGCTCTCAGGCTCCTCATTGCGACTGTGGATAACACAGGCCCTGACCCCTCCCCAAATAAACATCCTGGGTCAAGACCCAGACCAGTTTGAACCGCCCCCACCCCACCTCCCAGGCCAGCTCTCTGGTCTCTAGGGCTGGGCTGCCAAGGAGTTCAGTCCCTGTGGGACCCCGAGAGTGGACAAGCTCCCCACCCCACCAGCCTGGGGTCTGGGGGCAGCCGAGTGGGCTGGGGCCTGCATCAGACCCGAGGCCAACCTGATACACACAGGTATCACCCAGGCACTGCTGGGGACAGGGTGGCCTGGGACTCTCACCTGGAGGGCCCCACCATGGCCACTTCCTCCGGCACACGGGGACACTTGCCTGGCAGGATAAAGGAGTCCAAACCTTGAGTAGTTCCCCCGCCTCCACAAGGGCTGGGCTGCAGGACATGGCCCGGGGAGCTGCTGGCAGCAGGGGTGGGGCCGGAGTGTGTGTGCAAACAGGATGAAGCCCCCACATCCACCAAGGTCCCCTCTGCTTCTGGAAATGCCAGAGGCCATGAGTCCTCAGCCATGCATGAACCATTTGAGCTCAGCGAGCGTGCACAGGCCTGGGATCTGCCGTCACCTGGAGCACATGACAGAGGCAGAGCCACACTGGGCACACACCCAGCCCTGAGGAGACACCAGGACCCTCAGGAGGAACTGCAGGGCAGCCCCCTGGCAGCCGCAGTACGGGCTGACGACCTCCCCAAGTCAGGATCCCTGGACCTGGGTATTTGCTCAAAAAGAATGGATCAACAGTCCCGCTGACTGCTAGTCAGAGGTGTGCTCTGTCTACAGCCAGTGTCCCAGGACCAGCCTCAGGCCCTCCTGTGGGTGACGGAGCTGTGTCTGCAGTGGAAGGGCTCAGGTCCCAGGACACAGTCAGCGCCAGCCTCAGGCCCTCCTGTGGGTGACGGAGCTGTGTCTGCCGTGGGAGGGCTGGGGTCCCAGGACACAGTCAGCGCCAGCCTCAGGCCCTCCTGTGGGCGACGGAGCTGTGTCTGCAGTGGAAGGGCTCAGGTCCCAGGACACAGTCAGCGCCAGCCTCAGGCCCTCCTGTGGGCGACGGAGCTGTCACAGGAGGGCCCAGAGCATTCTCACACCAACAATGTGGGAAGGCCGGGTGGGCGGGCTTGATCCCATTCTACAGAGGAGAAAATGGAGGCTGCAGGGGTGGCCTGAGCATCAGACCCAGTTCCGTCCTTCAGTCTCCGTGGGTGGGACCAGGTCAGCCGAGGCAGCTGCTGGTCATTTGGACGCTCAGACTCCTCCCCTCCCTGAGGGTCAGCCCCATTCATGCTGGGCTCACTTCCGGGGATGGCTGGGGCCCAGCCTAGGGGGTGCCCCTGAGTGCGGTCAGGGTGGGGCTGGGGTCTCCAGGAGGGGGCTCTTTCAGGGAACCTGCACCACTGGAGGGAAGTTCCGCCTCCTCTGGGTGAGCAGTACCATCCTTCCTGCTCCAGGGCCAGTCTTGCCAGCATCCAGGAGGCTGCCACACGGCTGGGCACTGGGCCCCTCAGGCTGGGAATTGCAGAGGCTGCCAGAGCCTCCGCCCCCACCCACATAGCCCGACCACTCCCAGCTGCCAGGGTCTGGGCCCAGGGAGGCGTCCTGTGCAGCACATCCTATCCTGTCCTCAGCAGACAAGATGTGCAGCAGGCACTGCCAGCTCTGCCTCCACCCACA